TTTTTTTTTTGGTTTTTCTCCGGTACCGGGAACCGAACTCACGTTACCAGCTTTTGCCGCTGAGCTAAATCCCCAGCCCCTGCTCTATTTTTTCTTTTATTCTGTTCTTTAATTTATTTATACTTTGTGTTTCTCATTTAAGAGGAAATATGTAGTATTTAAACTTGGGTGTCTGATTTATTTCAATTATATTATGATCTCAAAAAGTGTGAATTTCATATGAATAATTTCAACATAATCTTTACTGTCACTCATCAATATATTTGTCACTCTACAATATATTTTAGAAATAATGTCCAATTGGCATGTACAGATTGGCATGAAAAAAATCTGAGATATTTTGTAAAAACTTAAAAGAAATACAATTTAAAATTTGGTTAACAATATATGTGGATTTTTTTAAAGGAGAATCATGCAGTCGAAAGAATAATAAAAGGAGAAACTAAACAGCAATATCCAAGGAAAAGATTTACTTCATGCAAAATCTAAATATATTTAGCATTATTTTCAAAAAGAGAATTTTAAAAGTGCTAATAATAGGCCACTTAATGACATGCACAGCTTTGTCAGATTTTTCCCTTTGTCATGTGCATTCTGATTTCCAGCACATCCAATATGCACCGTTAACCTGTTGTCTTTACTTAATTATAAATCTTTGTAATTAAAAAGTCAATTTAAACAATGATTAATTTAAAATAAATTCTACTTAATCAATGCTTCTAGGGTAGAAGATTTAGAATTCCAGAGATAATTTGTACTCCTCTGAAAAGAAGTGAGCGCAATACTAGTGCCCATAAATTTTTGTCCTCCTCACTTATCTCCCGCAGTTTCATGTAGCCTGTAGCACTGGCTTTCCCTGGTAAGTGAATGTGTTACGCTACTCTTCCTTGACTACGCAGAAGTGTATGAATCTGCTCTGAGTACAGGTAGAAGTGGGTTACTCACTAGAAATAGTATTTCTCTTCTTAATAGAGAAGTTAAGGATTCCCTTGAGACAAAACAACATGTATGACTTAAATATGTTCTATTTACCTTATAATATTATCATATTTGAACTGAGTTCTCCATATTTGCCTTTTTTTTGTTAAATCATCATAACAATTGATAAATATTACAGTTTTGCAAGGGCAAAACTCAAGTGTATCAACTTTGGCCAACGGCTCTGTGTGTTTTTAAACTTGTTCTTTGTTGTAGCTTCATTTGCACAGAAAGTCACCTATGAGGGAAGGAAAACTGGAGGTCAGTTTCCCTTGTTCCTCTTACAGAAGGTAAGCAGTAATGTTTAATTAAAACCATAAAACTGACCCTCCATAATAATCTTTAAGAAGATTGGTGAAATTTTTGAATGAGACCTCAATATGGTAGAACCCAATTAACCAAAATAAATATTCGCTGAAGGACCTTGCATTCTTTTCACAGGTAGCGTAAGAGAAAGACATCTGATAATATACACAATATTGTAGCCTGTTTAGCAAGATACATTTTCAAGTGAATTACATATATTTTCCTCATGTTTTATATTGAACATTACAAAGTTTCAACTGTATTTAGTCTACATTAAATATGCTAAAAATATACCGTACCGATAGGAATAGCTATATACTTAGTAAATATACAGGTCAATTTTAATAAACAGATTAATTACCTGAAAGCTCAATTTAATTACTTTTCTCAAACTCTTTAGTAGATTTAATTTTTTGATCTTAGATCTTATATGACAGATGATTTTAACTCTTCCAGTTGAGGCTTTCTCAGCTGCCTATACCTACTAAATTCCTCCGGTGGGTTCACGTCAGTTTGCAGTTTTTATTTGATGTCATTAATGAAAACAATTGCAATTTATCCACTCTTTTCCATTTCCTTAGTAAGAGTATTCATTATTCTTAATGAAAATTACCTAATCATATTTTTTCCTCTCTTACTATGATTTTTTAACCTTTCCAAATCCAGAAAACATACAATATCTAAGCTTACAAATTTCTAACACTTGGTAATTAAATAAAGATATGGCTTTACTTCTCAGTATTTAAACACATATCTTCTAAAACTAACATTACCCTATATAAAGCATTATCTTATATAAACACAGTGAAATTTTCAGTCAAGGAAATTAATGTTAATATATTGAACATGTATCCTATTGTGAAAATTTAAATTCTCCTGCTTAAGAGTGACATGTGTAGCTTTCTTTTGCTTTGTTAGTCAAGAATCTGAATATACGTCTTTTTCTGGTCTCTGGGTAGTCGTCATTTTTGGTGTACTGAAGATGTGCTCAAATTGGAAGACACCACATTAAAAAGATATATCTGATATCTAGAAATGGCTTTTTTAGTTGAGCAAATTAGAGACAACTTGCAACCGAATAAAGATTGACAGAGATAGATTATACACTTTTGATTAATCAAGGATTCATGTGTCCGTATGATGCTAAAAACAAATCATTAAAATGATGACGAGGTGTGGAATTTTCATAACAGACACGTCTATTTAATAATAAATGTAAAAGGAATAGTTAAAGTAGAAATAAAAAATCATCTCATTACTACAAACATAGATATAATTACTTCAAGTAAAAATCACCAGCAGTGTTAATATTGTCGGTTAAGTTCTACGGGTGGGCAGGACACTTGGATTGTTTCATCGTATCTTCCCCACAGGTAGCACACTGACACCCAAAGAAAAAATAGTAAATGAAGATCTCTTGAGCCACCTGAATCAAAAGTCACATTTCAAACTATCTATAATGGGACAAATTCATATGATATGCCCTTTACTGTTATCCTGGGAAGGACGTTTCATGAATTTAATAGCAGATTAAAGAAAGAAATATAATCTATTTTGCAATTGATAGTAGCAGAAGAATCCAAGAAATTTATCAGACATGGAATAACTAGCTGATTTAATTTAACATGCCTACTTCATTTTGATGTCATGTCATTTTGAGCCTAATTCTCAATTAAGAGGAGAAATAAACCCCTTTACTAGTTAAATATTGGATTCTCTGACTGAAAGATTTAGTAAAACACTTAGATATTTTAGAATATGCAAATGTTTCCTATGGGAAATAAATCCAGGTGTGACTCAAATTTTTAATTTCCCTGAATTCTTACTTTTGAAAAGGGTCTCAAATGACAAAAATAATGACATTCCCAAGTTATGACTTTTGAAAATAGTTTTCCTTCTCACACAAATGGTAGAAACTTATGATTTGAAAAATAAGTAATGGATGAATGGTGGGATGCCTACCAATTTGTCTCATCATCTCCTGGAGATATCCAGAGATAGACATAGAGATAGAGATAGATAGAGGTAGAGATGGAGATAGAGCTAGAGATGAGATAAATATAGATAGATA